CAATTGAAGCATGATTTGACTAATGCAACCGTTCTAGCTTTGCCTAATTTTTTTAAAACTTTTGAAGTTGAATGTGATGCTTCAGTAATTAGAATAGGTGCTGTTTTGCTTTAAGAAGGCCGACCACTTGCTTACTTTAGTGAAAAGTTGATAGGAGCTCATTTGAATTATCCAACTTATGATAAGGAGCTTTATGCCGTTGCGAGGGCATTGGAAACATGGCAGCATTACCTCATGCCAAAAGAGTTTGTGATCCACACTGACCATGAATCTCTCAAGTATCTCAGGGGACAAAAGAATTTGCATAAGAGGAATGCTAAGTGGATAGCATTCATCAAGACTTTTCCCTATGTTGTGAAGTACAAGAAGGGTAAGAAAAACATTGTTGCTGATGCACTCTCCCGAAGGTACACACTTCTTGTTACTTTAGATGCAAAAATCATGGGATTTAAGTACATTAAAGAATTGTATGCTAATAATTCTGATTTTTCTCAAATTTTTGAAACATGTGAAAATGGAGATTTTGACAAGTTCTACAAAAATAATGGTTTCTTGTTTAGAGAAAACAGATTGTGTGTTCCACATTGTTCTTTAAGGGAGTTACTTGTGCGAGAGGCACATAGTGGTGGATTAATGGGACATTTTGGAATTCCTAAAACTCTTGATGTCTTGAATGAACATTTCTACTGGCCACACATGAAAAGAGACGTTGGAAAGCTTTGTGGAGGATGTGTTGAGTGCAAACGAGCAAAATCCAAGTCCCTTCCTCACGGACTTTACACTCCAATGCCTACACCTCAATCACCTTGGATTGACATATCCATGGATTTCATTCTAGGGCTGCCTAGATCACAACGAGGTATGGATAGTATTTTTATTGTGGTTGATCGGTTTTCTAAAATGGCTTATTTTATTCCTTGTAGGAAATCGGATGATGCAAAGCATGTTGCCAATTTGTTCTTTAGAGAAGTGGTTCGACTACATGGGGTTCCTAGAAGCATAGTGTTCAATAAAGATGTCAAATTCTTGAGTTACTTTTGGAAGACACTTTGGGGAAAATTGGGAACCAAATTGCTATTTTCAACCACAAGTCATCCTCAAATAGATGGACAAACAGAGGCGACAAATCGAACTCTTGGTACACTTCTAAGGGCAATCCTCAAAAAGAATCTCAAGAGTTGGGAGGATTGTGTACCAATTGCTGAATTTGCATATAACCGAACTATGCATTCATCCACAGGTGTATCTCTTTTTGAAATTGTTTATGGTTTTAATCCACTAACTCCTTTAGATCTTTCTCCTCTGCCCATAAAGGAATATTTGAATCTAGATTGGGTTAAGAAGGCTGAGATAGTCAAGAGCTTGCATAAAAAAGTTCAGGAATGTTTGAAGCACAAAAGTGAGCTAGTTGCTACAAGGATCAATCGTGGATGAAAGGCAGTTGTCTTTGAACCCAGAGATTGGGTTTGGGTTCATATGAGGAAGGAAAGATTTCCCAACAAAAGATAGACAAAGTTACACCCTCGTGGAGATGGTCCATTTCAAGTCCTTCAAAGAATAAACAATAATGCCTACAAGTTAGACTTGCCCGGTGAGTTTGGAATTAGTAATACTTTCAATGTTTCTTATCTCTCTCCATTTGAAAATGATGCACGATTCAAGGTTGAATCTTTTTAATGGGGAGGAAACTGATAGCGATCAAATGCACAAAAGCTCAAATGTTGCTAATTAGGAAGCTCAAGTTTGTGAAGATGATAATTTGATCAACATTGCTGGTCCAATGACACATTCAAGAATAAAGAAAATGCAAGAAGCCTTGAAGAATTTGATTAGCACAAGTCTTTCACTAGTATGCTCCAAAGCCCACAATGTGAAGACCAGAATTATGAATTTCATGACCATTACAGATCATGGGCCAATAAGGGATAATGGATCATATTGGACTGATCAAGACAATCATTTTGGCCCATAATATGGCCTAAAATTTGTGCAAAAGCATGGCTGGTTCAAGACTACACTCTTTTATCAATTCTAGTCAATAATAATGGTTTGACTTTGAAGTTGAAAGACATCAATAAATCTGATCATTTATGAACAAGATTGGAGTCTTCAAAAGCATTAAAACTCTTCATTGGATGATGGAAAATCAGCATGGAGTAAAGAGAAGTCAGCTTGGGAAAAATGAATTCAAAGAAGACTAGAATCCCAAGTCATTAATTAGTCTTGAATTCTGTTTTTTTTATTAATTTCTATTTCCAAAGTTAATTTTAAGTAATTTACTTTTGAATTTTGTGCTTCCTATGAGCTATAAATAGGGGTGCATTCTACTTGTAAAAAGGGATGGAAATTACGTACTTGTTAAGGGTTTTCCTTAATTTGCTTGTCTCTTTGAGCTAGTTTGGGTCTTGCAAGTTGCTTGCAAAACTTATTATGTTTATCAACTAGGATTCTTCCTCCTAGTTGTGGCACCTTGGCCTTTTTTCTTTCTCTTCTGTGATTCAAAGGTGATAGGTTTAATATACCTATTATTGTTGGGTTCATTATATTTAGGGGTAGGTAACAGTAGTTCAATTTTTCTACCTTTTTGTGATTCAAAGGTGGTAGGTTTAATATACCTACTATTCTTGGGTTCAAATAGGTTGGGTTGGGTTGCTTAGAAGATTTCCATAATTCTTTCTTTTGGTGTAATTCAAAGGTGTTGAGTTTGATATGCTCAATGTTGTTGAGTTCATCCAAGATTGAAGATTGGCTGAACTAGATCATCAAGGAACAATCTTAATCAACGGATAACCGTTGCTATCATTTTATCTTAATCAACGGGTAACTGTTGCTTATCACTTTTTCTTGAGGAAACTCTGTGCAAATTGTGAGAAGAAGGGCAAGGAAAGAAGAATCCAGAAGAAAAGGGATAAAAAGATAGAGAAAGCTCATAACTAGCACAAGGGAACCTGTGAGCTTAAGGTAAGTTTTCTAAATCAATTGTATTTTGTTTCTCTTAAAATTTTGAGGTTAGTTTCTAAATGTTGTGAAAGATATTTTTGAGGTTAGAAATAGCTCAAAAGCATCTTGGAACTTTGCCCAATCTTTGGAAAAAAAAGCTCCAAATTAAACCAGAATTCTACAGGAGTTAAGATTACGAATGATACAAGGTAAGCCCATTTAAACCTTTTTTTTTCCTTTTTAAAAATGTAAGTTCCATATGAAGGGGGTATTTTTGGATTAAAAATTATCAATATTCCTAAGGGGAGACTATGTCAAAATTTTGGTAGAAAATTAAGATAAACTAAGAGGAGATTCTGCCCACATTAAAAGAGAAATCTAAAGGTTTTATAAGGGAAACTCTGCTGGATTGAGTAGAAGTCTAAAGGTTTTATAGGAGGAGACTCTGTCTATTTGAAAATAGGAATGTAAGGGGAGGCTCTGCCCTCATTAATAGAGAAATCTAAAGGTTTTATAGGGGGAAAATCTAACGAATTGAGTAGAGTGATTAGAGCTTGTGTAAGAGTCCCCTCTGCCCAAGTCAAGGTTGTGTAGGACCCAAGGTAAGTGAATATTGTGATAGCATAGCATACATAGTTTTCAAGTGTTTTCATTTGTGTTTTATATGTACTTTCATATATAAAGTGCAAGTACTTTGTGAAAGTGCAATTGTATTTTAAGTGTTATTTTGCTCATGTGTTTCGGAAAGTGATTCTAATAAATATGCATTTATCCTTATTAAGGTAATCTATTCCGAAAACACCTGCATCATCTAGGCTTCTGTGTGCCTATTCATAACCATTCTGTTTTTTGGGTGCATGGGGATGTGTTAAGTGTTAAGTGTACGCCTATGCATGCATGACAGTGATGTAGCATAGCTCATTATATAATGCAGCCAAGAGATGGGATGAATTATTTATCTATTTTCTGATTCAATTATCAATTATATTCAAATGTACAAGATATATGTTTTGATGTATGTGAAAGCTATATATATTGCATGTATCATACTGTGTATCATGATATCTGCTTATTGAGATAGTGTATCTCACTCCTTCATCATTTTTAAATCATTCAGAGACTGCTAAGGAGTGAAGGTAATAGTAGAGAAGTCTTTTGTAAGTTAGGCTCCATGAGAACTCAAGTTACTAATTTGTATTTTCGTTTTGTAGTGTAAGAAAAAAAATTTTAGAGCCTCGTTTGCATGTGTCTATACATATCAATGGATGTGACACTTATGCACTTTTTTATTAATGAAAACTTGTTAGGTTTTATTTAACTAAGTGTAAAGTTACAGTGTGATCCGAACACACCCTATAAGAGAGGGGTGGTCATGACACATAAAGATTGCCGATTCTCCAAAGCTCGAACCAAAGCATAAAGTTCTTTGTCATATATAGAATAGTTCAATGAAGCACTAGGGAGCTTTTCACTAAAGTAGGCAATTTGTCTTTCTCCTTGCATAAGAACAGTCCCAACACTAACGCCTGAAGCGTCACACTCAATTCCGAAAGTATTAAAAACGTTAAGTAAGAATAGGTACCGAACAAAGCTTATTTTTAACAAATTAAATGCAAGGCATAACCAAATAGCACATAAACACAAGCCAAACAATGAAAACTTCAGAACCTCACTTACCGATTTAGGAATAGGCCAGCTCTTAATAGCACTTAACTTCTCTTCATCAACTTCAACATTTTGCTTACAACAAAACCTGAACCACAATTCGATCTAAATAAAAAGAACACTTCTTGAAATTAGTATACAACCTGTCATTTCTCAAGGTAACTAAAATACTCCTTAAATGTTCTTCATGCTCATTTAAATCTCTAGAATGCACAAGGATATCATCAAAGTACGCAACAACAAATTTTCCAGTGAAATCTTCCAAAACATGATTCATATATGGCTCATGATTCATACTTGGTGCATTAGTTAAATCGAAAGGCATAACCAACCATTCATATAATCCATACGTTGTTTTGAAAGCAATGTTCCATTCATCGCCTTCTTTCATTCGAATTTGATGATAACCACTTTTCAAATCAATTTTGCTAAAACTATTAGAGCCATATATAATTCATCAAGAATACCATCTAACCTAGGAATAGGATGACGATACTTTACCGTAATGTTGTTAATTGCACAACAATCAATACATATACGCCAAGAACCATCTTTCTTAGGCACCAACAATACCGGAACAGCACATGGACTCATACTTTCTCTAATAAATTCCTTACCCAACAACTCCTCAACTTGCCTTTAAAGCTCTTTTGTCTCCTCAGGATTACTTCTATAGACTGGTTTGTTTGGAATTGAGGCATTGGGTATGAATTCGATTTGATGGTCAATACCTCTAACGGGTGCCATCAATTAGGTATCTCTTCCGGAAAGACATCTTCATATTCCTGAAAAAAGAAACAAACACACTAGGCAAAGAAATATTAAGGTCATTAGTGTTTAGATAAAGTTCCTTATTTAAGCGCAAGTATACTTTTCCTTGAAAAGCAACCTTCCTTAATATCACTCTTTTTTGCATATAATCTCACTTATTTCTTTTTACACTCATTTGAATTATGTTCCTCTTTTGTCAAACTCACTTTCTTTTGCACTTCATTATTTTTTTTTCACTCTTTTCTTTTGAAAGCTCACTCTTGGATGTCTCACGTTCGCTTACTCTTTTTTCTTATGATGCGAAAACCCATGACACTTGCTTGAACCTTAGAACTCTTCAATCGGTTTAGAACAGAATTTAGATCACAAGTAAAAAGGAATCAAATTTGTTCAATCACTCAAATGAGTTAAATAGAACCCAAGAAAGATAAATGATATCCCTTGAACCCAATCCAAACAAGCACCAAGAACAATTGAAATAGGAAATCAAAATTGAAATACAAGCGATAACAATTGTATTCCAAATCAACACCTTGTGCTTAAGTGAAAAGAAAGCCAAAACACTCTTAACTCAATTCTGAAATATTTGATTACAACTCCTTATGTCCACAAAGAAGAGTTCCTTTGGTATTTATAGCCATAGAAATCAATGATAAGTTACAATACAATAACTACAATTATAACTTCCACAATAACTAAGTTAATTATGTGATAATTATAATTGTAACTCCAACAATAACTAGGCTAATTATAGGCATGTAATTGTTATGTAACTCCTTGTAACTCCAATCTTCTTAACCAATACCACTAATTGTTTGTGGGATCATTCTTGTAATAACACTAAGGCAAGACTTAAGCTCAATGTAAGTTATACTTGACTATAAGGGCTTAATTAACTCATACTAAAATAAAACAATCCAAAATATTTAAAACAGTCAACTAATCCAGCCCATACACAAGGCTTATTCACCACCAGTAAGACTCAAACAAGCCCAAATTATTCCAAATCATTTAAACCCAATTAAAGTTATGAATTTGGGCTGTTCAAAAAGCTCATATTTGAACTTTTCACAATTGGCCAGCCCATCATCCACATGTTTTTGAGTGAAAACTTGGAGCAACTCTTTAAGCTTCTTTGCCTTTGATCTTGTTACTGGTCCGCTGAAACTTTTCAGGTTTGGAACTCTATTTGTGTTTACATCATTTGAAATTTGCTCCATGTCACCTTTTAATGCCCTTTGAGTATCTTGAGTGTTTTAGCCTTGTTTGCATCACCTTGACTCTTGTTTTCTCTCTCACTTTCTATTCTTCTAAGCTCACCCTCATAAACGTTTTTCTTTTGGTGAAAGTGGTACAAGAGTAATTTTCTTTCCTTCTTTCTCAAAAGTGTAGTGATTTGTGAAACCGTTACGCATCACACTTTGATCAAATGTCCAAGGATGTCCCAACAAAAGATGACAAGTGTGCATAAGCACTACATCGAATAAAAATTCATCCTTATACTTGCCTATTTTGAATGCCACAAGAACTTGCTTTGTCACCCTTATATCCCCACAATCATTGAGGCACTTCAATTTGTAAGGATGTGGATGTTTTGTAGTAGACAGCCCCAACTTCCCTACATTAGTACTAGCAACATTTGTCACGCTGCCACCATCAATTATCACATCACATACGCAATCCTTCAAAAGATTTCTAGTATGAAACAAGTTCGCTCTTTGATGGTATTTCTCCTTCATTCTCTTCTTCACTAGCTGAATACTCCATCAAGCATAAACATAGTTCTTTGATTTGGACAGTCCTGCTTGTAATGACCTATACCTTGACACTTGAAACATTTATTATTTCTTGAATTGGTAGTAGAGTCAAGCTTACCCTTATCTTTTCTAGAACCGGATGCTTTAGAAACTTCAATGCAAATAAGGCAGGATACAAGAACATGGATCCAATTCAGCTACCTAATGGTCCGATTACAAGAGTGAGGTTGAAGAAATTCAAGGACGCATTCAACGGAATGATTCAAGGCTTGTGGAATGGCATTAACAAAATTCAAGAACGCAACAAGGACGCATGTATTTGGGCTTGGGCTGAATAACAAAAAGCAAAGCTTGGTCACATTAACTCAAGTGTAAATTACACCAGCCCAATATGAAATTGAACCAACTTGCTTGGATGGACCATAACTTGGGCTTCTGATGTCCAAATTAGTCTTTAAATATTTTGACCTATTATTTTGCTAGTCATATTATCCACTCCCATTTTTAGAGTTTTGTAATTTATTTATTTTGTGAGTACATTTGCTTAAATTATTTGCTTAGTGATAAAAAACGGAATATATACTTCTTTTTCTCATGATTTCTGTTTTATCATTACCGATTCAGTTAAATATTTATTATATAATGAAATTAAATATGAGTATTCTTTTAATACTGTTGATTAGGTTGCATGTTTAAGAATTATTATATTTTTATTTGATGTTTCTACAGAGTTCGTGTTACATTCCATCACTCCTTAAAGGTTTTAAGACTCAAGACTTGCATCCTTTTTGAACAGATTAGTGACGTCAAGAAATTTGTAAAGATATTCAAATCAATAATATTTTTTTACTTTTTTTTTGGTTACTTTGTATTATATGTGATGATTATTGGTTTTTTGAAAATTGTGTCAACTTGGCTTTGGTAGATCATTGAAACAACTCTCTAGATATAATTAATCATCCAGTTATTTTATTATACAGTTATTCCATGTAAGTAGATGAAAGCTATAGATTTTGTAAATAATTTTTATCTGTAAATCCTGATGCCAGATATTCTTTTATGCATTTATTTACTAAAAAATAGACCTTGTTTTAATAGTTGTAGGTGAAGGACTTTCTTTATTTGCTTCTCTTGGTTGTAGGGCACTTTGTATGTTTTGTTATAATGATTTTTATTTTGTTGTCTCTATCTTTAAAATAATCAGTGTTTAAATATTTTAACCTATTCTTTTGCTATTCATATTATCCACTCCCATCTTTAGAGTTTTGTAATTTATTCTTTTTGTAAATAGATTTGCTTAAATTATATGCTTAGTGATAAAAAATAAAATATATACTTTTTTTCCTCATGGTTTATGTTGTCATTGGCAATCTTAGTTAAATATTTATTTTATGATGAGGGGTTAGGGTGTAAGGCTTAATGCTTAGGGCTTATTATTAGGGCTTCGGGCTTATTAAGGCTTAGGGCTTATTCGGGTTTGGTGCTTGTTAGAACTTAAGGCCTATTAAGACTTGGACCTAGGGCTTAGGGGTTAGGACTTACAGCTTACGACTTAGAGTTTAGGGCTTAATGGGGCTTAAAGCTTAAAGCTTATTAGGGCTTACGACTTAGGGTTTAGGAGTTATTATGGTTTGGGGCTTATTACATTTTTATTTGATCCATGGTCAAGGATTATTACGTTTTTATTTAATATTTTTGTAGAGGTTGTGTTACATGCTGTCACTAGCTAAAGCTTCTATGAATCAAGTCTTGCACCCTTTCTGAACGTGTTAATGATGTCCAAAAAGTTTCTAGAGATCTTTTAAATCCATAATATTTTATTACTTCTTTTTCGTTACTTTGTGTTGTACATAATGATTATGAGTTTTCTGAAAGATGTCTTAACTTGGCTATGGTAGATCATGAAAACAACTCTTTAGGTATAACTCTTTGAGGATCAGGGTTTAGGATTTAGGTTTATTAAGGCTTAAGACTTATTAGGGTTTAGGCTTTAAGGCTTTGGGCTTAGAGTTTACGGCTTAAAAATTAGGGTTTAAGGATTATTTGGACTTAAGGCTTAAGGCTAAGGACTTAGAGTTTAGGGTTTAGAACTTGTCTCTTCTTAGGGCTTAGTGCTTTAGACATAGTGCTTATTAGGGCTTAGTGCTTAGGACTTATTAGGGCTTAGAGCCTAAGGGTTAGAGCTTAGGACTTAGGACTTAGGACTTGGGATTCAGAATTTAGAGTTATTAGTGCTTAGAGCTTAGTAAGGCTTAGAGCTTATTAAGGCTTAGGGCTTATTAAGGTTTAGTCCTTATTAGGGTTTAAGGCTTATTAAGGCCTAGAGCATAAGGTTTAAACTTTAGTGCTTAGAGCTTAAGACTTAGGGCTTATTAGAACTTAGTGCTTGGGGCTTATTAGGGCTTAGGTCTAAGGCTTAGGGCTTAGGGCTTAGGACTTATGAGGGCTTAGGACTTTTTAGGGCTTAGGGCTTATTAGGGTTTAGGGTTTTGAGCTTATTAGGATTTAGAGCTTAGAGCCTAGAGCCTATTAGGGCTTAGGGTTTTTTAGGTCTTTAAGGTTTTTTAGGACTTAATGTTATGCAATATTGAACCTTCAACCGACTAAATAAACCTCTTTCTCTAATTAAATCTATAATCTTAAAAAAATGCAAAAATAAAGATTAGGGAAAATAAATAAGGAAAGAAAAAATGTCACGAACTTACTGAAAAGTTTATCCTCGCTCCTTGCCTCAATAAGACTTCTGAAGACTCCTACTTCTCGAAGAAGTTGAAGAAGCTAAATTAGCAAAACTGCTAATAGAAGAAAATGTTAAACTTTCAAGAATTCTCTCAAATTGATTGTAATTGGTGTTTTTACAACTTACGAGTAAAGACTTATTTACAGTTTTTTTTGGGACAATTTAGATGAGTTCAAACTCTTGTATAAATTAATAAAATAATATCTTGGATAAAATTTTATTTAATTATAGAATAATTACATAATAAAATATTTATTCTATCCCATCTAAATGCAAAGAAATTAATTATAAGGATATAATATGTATTAAAAATAATAATTAAAATATGATAAGACTTATCCCATGTGATTTTCATGTAAAACACATGGAAAAATTAATTTAGACATATAGAGATTAATTTTAAAACATGAGAAATTAAAAAGTGGGTTCCAAAAGCCTTAAAATAAAAAATAAATAAAAATATTAATTAATTTAAAAGGTGAAGGGCAAGTTTTAAACAAGTTGGGCCGACCGGTCCGCACTGATAACGGAAGGTGGGCTCACAGGTTGGGTCACGGGTCGTCCACTGGGCCGGTTGGGCTGGCTTCGGGCCCATTTGCGCTGGGTGAGCGTGTTCGGCCCCTTGGGCCTATGCGTGCACTACTGATTCTGCGTGCGAGGCCTGCGTGGCTCTTGGGCTATGCAGGCGGGGCTGCTGCCCCGCTTGAACCCGCATGCGTGCGGGCATTGCAATGTATATGCACGTATGTGGCCTATTTTTCTCGGGTCTGGGCTGCCCATGGGTGCAGCATCCTTGGGCCGTGGCCCATCTTGACCATAAGACCTTGAGGCCTTCTCGAGTTGGGCTCAAAGCTTGGGCTTCCTTTTGATTCTTCAAGCTTATTAATCTTACTCGGGCCTTAAGCCTTTTAGTTTGGACAAACTTGACCTATCTCTTGAAATAATCCCAATTAGGAAAGTAGTTAGGGATGAAATTAATTTCCTGTTCTGAACATTCCCGTTTAACAAATTGAAACTTACTTTCTTGCTTGAGTCGAGACCTGCTGGATTCTTCTTTGATGCAGATTGACATCCTTAACACTAAATTTGGGTTATCCAAGTTCACATCATCCTCTCCTTTAAAAATATTCGTCATTGAAGCTTGACCTTCATCAAAAGAAGAATGGTTAGTGATAACAATAGAAACCACACCATACTGAACCCAATATCCAATTTTAATAATTAACCGGCTGTCCCCATACCCTGTCCAGTAATAGGCGTCAAACATTCCATCGCCTCGATACCCCGTCCGGTATGAGAGTGAATTATATCTCCCAAATCTTCCCGATAAGGGACTTTCCATCCCCATTCGACTGAGGTAATGTTCCCGGTAGGATTCCTTATGTACCAGGCCCGTCTGCCCTTTCCCTAGGTACCTAATAAGTCTTTCACATAAAGATTCTCATTAATAAACAACCAATTACGTATACAAATATCTCATTTTATATTCATAGATCAATTAAACTATATTAATGCTGACAGTATATAACCGAATAAGCCAGATGAATAAATAAAGTTATAGAAAATATAAATTAAGAACATGGATCATATAATAAAAAGCAAATAGAGCAATACAAAAAAATAAACAGAAAATCGGAACAATCGTGAATTAACCAGTTTCGGCTCCACTAGTGACCTATAATTATTTTTAGAGTTCTCTAATTTTTCATAAAAATACAAAATTATAAAATGTTAAGTCTCAGTTTACCATAACGGAGAATAGGGTAAAGGATTCTTACCCAAATCGGTGTTTTAAGACGTCATGATGTCTATTACACCTCTTAATGGTACTAGGTTTCCTAATTTTTTTTTGTAGAAATCCAAAACACCCGTCACATACCTAAAAATACTCCAAAATTTAAAATCGGTGTCCAAAACTCTTTCGGGCCAATTTTAGAGTTTCAGCAAGGCAGCACTGCCGTATTCCATTACCGACTCTGCCAGCCACGGCAGGGTTCGCCTCAGCCTACCCAGTTTTGGTCGGTTTTGGCTGTATCCTTGCAAAAAAACATGTTAGGGGCCTCGGTTGCCGAGAAATCACAAAAAAACCGAACTTACCGGCGGAGGGATCTCCGGGTGCGGCGGATCTGCCGGTCCTCCTTCACTGCTGAAGTTCTTTCTTTAGCTACCCTACACAGAAAAGGACGATGAACAGAATGATAAAAAAATCACGTGAAACGAGAATGAGAAAGGACTCATCGCAGGGGTTTTGGGGTTTTAACCGCGACAGCTCCGCTGGGCTTTTTCTGCGATTTCTGACTTATCTTCGATCTTTCTTGCTCCAATTTGGCCATAGTGATACTCTGAATCGAATTCCGAGTGGGTAGGGAGAATTTTTACCTTTTTTAGTGGTTGGCGGTGGCTCCAATGCGGCGGCGGTCAGTGGTCGACCTCCTTCTCTGGTGTCTAATTTTTCTTCTCCGGTGGGGGCTGGCGATTAGGGTTTGGGTTCCTGTGTGATGCGAGGTATTTATAACTATCCCGCGTTGATCTGGACCGTCCATTGCGATCAATCTCATCCGTCCGATTGCATTTAAGGAGGAAACGAATTTGGGCTGTTTATTGCGATTAATTTCAACCGTTTGATCGCAACTAAGGGAGAAACAGATCTGGATCCTCCGCGCGTGCGGGATCGGTCATGGGTCGTCCGATCATGGGGCATGTGGATCGCCAGCGTGGCCTCCCGCATGGCACCGACGCCAGCCCGCCTTGTCATGCGACGCGCTCCGGTTCTTTGAGATAGCTGATTGGGCAGTTTTACGTTGCTGAATTTTCTTTATTTGCACTTTAACTTTCTGTTTCCAATTTTTCGCTGAAAAACACTCACAGAACCTAAATTTTCACCTATTTTTTCTAAAATTATTTTCAATCTCGTCCCTAATTTATTTTTTCTGAAAATTTTACTTAAATAAAAATAAAATAAAATAATCAATTATTTTAAATTAATAATTAAAGAATAAAAAATTTATGTTGGGTCGTTTTTTGAGACTAGGTATTACAACTCTCTCCCTTTAAGAAAATTTGGTCCCTCAAATTGATCACTCTCTCACTTAGTCGAACAGCTAGGGCTACTGGGCCCTGAAGTTTGATTCTAGTTCTCAATTGGTCTCTTCTTGCGTATAGTTCTGCCATAGGACCTTGATAAATGGAATTTCTTTGTTGCGAAGTACTCTACTCTTCCGGTCTATAATGCCTATCGGTACCTCCTTATATAATAGATTTTCCTAGAGTAATAGAGGCTCGTGGGATAGGATGTGTGACGGGTTCGGGTTGTATTTGCATAGCATAGATACGTGGAACAAATTATGAACCCTACATAGCTTTGGAGGTAGTGCTAATCTATAAGCAGTCATATAAATCTGGTTTAAGATGTCAAATGGTCCGATGAACTGGGGATTTAGTTTTTCCCTCTTACTAAACATATTAATCCCTTTGAAAGGAATGATCTTAAGAAATACTCGGTCACATTTCTCAAATTCCAAATCCCTCATCCAGGAGTCTGTATAATTTTTCTGCCTACTATGAGTTGTTTGGATGTTTGTTCTGATTTTAACTATTTTGACTGTAGTCTTCTCCATAAGATCTGGGTCGAATAATTTTCTATCACCCACCTCTTCCCAACAGATCGGCGATTTGTATGGGCGGCCATCGGCAATCTGCATGGGCAGCCATATAATGCCTTGTATGGAACCATGCCGATACTTGCCCGATAGCTGTTATTGCAAGCGAACTCTATCAAAGGTAGGTGATCATTCCAATGACCTCTGAAGTCTAGAACACAAGTTCGGAACATATCTTCCAGTGTGCGAATCGTCATCTCTGATTGTCCATTGGTTTAAGAATGGAAGCGGTATTGAGGGACAATTTCGTTCCTATAGCTTACTGAAAACTAGACCAAAATTGAGAAGTGAACCTGAGGTATCTGTCGAATACCATTGACACTAGAACTCCATGTAACCTGACTATCTCTCGGATATAATTTTTGCTAGCTTATATAAGGGGTCAGTCATCTTGATAGCCGAGAAGTGAGAAGATTTGGTGAGCTGGTCGACAATTACCCAAATGACATCATGTCTTGAGCGTGCCTTAGGCAACCCTGTTACGAAATTCATTGTGATATGGTCTCACTTTCACTCTGAGATTGGTGATCACTGAAGTTACCCGCCTGGGCATTGATGCTCTGTATTAACCTGTTGGCATAGCAGACACTTGGAAATAAAGTCGGCTACCTCTCTTTTTATCCCGCTCCACCAAAACTGAGGTCGTATACTTTGATACATTTTAGTACTTTCGAGATGTATGACGAACTTGGAGCTGTGAGCATCTGTCATGATGTCCCTTTTTAGTTCACTGTCATCTGGAACACACACTTTGTCATAAAACCTGAGTAATCCATCGGTAGAGACTCGAAATTCTTGATGGACTACTTGTTCTGCATCTTTCTTGAGTAGGCCTATGGTGGAATTGATTAAATAGACCTCTCTTATTCTCTACATCAATTCGGGTTAAATAGCCAGGTGAGCCAAACATACAACTCTCTTTAATTCTTGAAGTCGTATCATTGTCCAGTCCCTATTACCCATGCATTTAGAAACCATTGTGTGAGTTAACATACCTGCACTTTTTCTGTTGAACGCACCAGCCACTATATTGCCCTTGCTCGTTTGATATAATATATTATAGTCATAATCTTTTAGGAGCTCTATCCAACGCCTCTAATGCATGTTCAGATCCTTATAAGTGAATATATGCTTCAAGCTCTTATGGTCAGTAAAAATTTCAAAAGTCTCCCCATACAGGTAGTGGCGCTAGGTCTTCAAGGTGTGGATAATGGCGGTAAGTTCCAAGTCGTGGGTGGGGTAATGTTTTTCATAAAACTTCAACTGTGTGGACCCATAGTGTATGACTTTGTCATGCTGCATCAGAACACAACCTAACCTCAAATAATAAGCATAACTGTACACTGTATATCCACTTGTCCCACTTGGTAAGGCCAACATAGGTGCAGTAGTCAATTGCTTCTTAAGTTATGTAAAGCTCATTTCGCAGTTTACGTTCCATTCAAACTTAACATTTTTCTTTGTGAGCAGGGTAAAAGGAGCAGCTAGGCTGGAAAATTCTTTTACAAATTTATAGTAATAATCTGCTATTCCCATAAAGCTACGAATCTCCTTAACCGAGGTCAATTTCTCCCATCCCAGCATTGTCTCAACTTTTTCGGGGTTCACTGATACTCCATATCTTGATATAATATGTCCTAGAAAGATAGTCTGCTCGAGTCAGAACCCACACTTGATCAATTTTGCATATAGTTTTTTCTCCCTAAGAACTTGGAAAACCTGAGTCAGGTGATGAACGTGTTCCTCTCTGCTATTTGAATACATCAGGATATCATCGATAAATATAATGACGAACTGATTTAAGAATTATCTAAAAACCCTGTTTACTAAGTCCATAAAAATGGCTGGTGCATTAGTTAGTCCAAAGGGCATGACTAGGAACTCATAATGTTCGTACCTGGTTCTGAAAGCTGTCTTGAGAATGTTCTCTGCCTTGATCTTTACCTAATGGTAAACTGAACGCAAATCTATTTTAGAGAAGATCTAGGCACCCTACAACTGGTCAAATAGGTAATCAATTCTGGGGAGGGGGTACTTGTTCTTGATTGTAACTCGATTCAATCCCCTGTAGTCAATACACAATCGTAACATCCCATCCCCTTTCCTTGCAAATGTGACTCTAGCACCTCAAAGAGATACGCTATGTCGGATGAACCTACTGTCTTACAATTCATTGATCTGTTTCTTCAATTCTTCCATCTCAACACGGCTCATATGGTAAGGGGCGATATACTGGGTGCCAGACTAAAAATCTATGGTGAACTCAATTTTTCTGTCTATTGGCAGTCCAGATAGTTCATCAGGAAATACATTCGGGAAGTCTCAGACTATTGAGATCTCTTGAATGTAAACTTGTTTCTTATGTTTGCCTAATGTAGAGAAGACAACAAAGTTAAAGCACTACATAATGAGGAAATTATCATTTAAAATTTTTATTAACTTGTAAATGGCTCTTCGTTAGGAGGGTTGAATACAAGTTTTTTGTGAAAACAATCTACGTTGGCGTGGTACGCCGCTAACCAGTTCATTCCCAGAATTACATCAAAGTACCCCGTGTCAATCTCTTTCAGGTCCGGGTATTATAAATGTAGACCTTTTGGATTAAACTTGCTTCCTGCATGCTACTTTTTGTGTTGAATTTGCATTGACTTTGAATAAGAATCTGCATATGAATCAGTTTGGAAAAAGGAGATGAAGTGACTCCAACTTGGACTCAAAAAAGAGGTTATCCCCGGCTGTCCTCCGCACGCAAGCTTACTGCTGCGAGCGTCTGGCGTGTGCTAGAGGCCTCTTTGTGGGTGCGACTTGCGTGCGCGAGCGGCATTAGTTGTCCGCACAAATGAGCCCCTTTGTGCGTTCTACTAGGCATAGGATCTATTCCCTCGCACGCCTACATGCTATATATCCCCACATGTGTTGGTCTTCCCAAGGCATGGTATGGGCTGACTTTCTTCCTTTGGGCGTAATCTTTTTGGGCTATGGCCCACTTTGGCCACATGGCCTTGAAGCCATTTAGGGTTGGGCCAAAGTTAGGCCTTTCCTTTTGCCTTGTAATTTCTCCAAGCCCATTAAGCATGTCGTGGCTGGCACCATTTCTTACAAGACGTGTCTGGAGCATACTTACACTTCATACAAAATTAAATAACAAGAATTAACTTTAATTAACATATAGAGTGCCAAGAAGTGTTACATCTCTTGAAATATGTACATAAGATACATATATATAAGGCTCTAAAGTTTTTTTATCTTATAATATAAAAGTACAAACTGATAACCCGATCTCAGAGTCTAACTTCTCAACTTCTCTTCCGTATCACTTATTATTTTGCAGTGAAATCCTCACTATATGAAAAATGATGGGGGAGTGAGATAACTATCTCAGTAAGCAGATATTATGACACACAACTAATACGTGCAATATAGATAATTTTCACACACATCAAAATATATATATATCTTATATACTTTCTCAAAAACATATTCACTTTCACTGAAAAACAAATGTATAAAACTAAAATTAGAATCACGATTCAGAAAACACATTGCTACGTTATACAATGAGCTATACTCTTCCATGTGCCATATTGGACAACTAGCTACGTGACTTAGAATCAGAGAATAGATGCACTTCACTACATTGTATAATGAGCTCTATCACTGCTATGGGGGGCCGTTCACATCTTCCTACTACCATACTTGTATAGGTGCACACTTAATACTTAACACTTCTCCATACACCCAAAAATAGAATAGTTATGTATACATTCACACTTATTATTTTGCCACTACACCTGAATACGGAACGGTTATATAGGCGTACACTGAAGCCTAACATCATGCAGGTGCTTTTGGAACAGTTGGCCTCGATAATGAGTGATACACACTTAACACTTAACACTTCCCCACACACCCAAAAATAGAACAGTTATGTATGAAGTCACATTATCAGTTTCTTACTACACTCGAAAACGGAACGATTATGTAGGGGCACACTGAAGCCTAGCATAATATAGGTGCTTTTGGAACAGTTTGCCTCGATAATGAGTGATGCACACTTAACACTTAACACTTAACACTTCCCCATACACCCAAAAACAGAACAGTTATGTATGAAGTCACACTTATCACTTTCTTACTACACCCGAAAACGGAACGATTATGTAGGGGCACACTGAAGCCTGGGCATCATGCAGGTGTTTTTACAACAACTCACTTCAATAACGAGTGACGCACACTTATTAAAATCACTTCCCAAAATATATAGGCAAAATAACGCTTAAAACACAATAATACTTTCACAAACACTTGCACTTTATATATGAAAATACGTAGAAAACACTGATGAAAACACTTGGAAATTACATAGGTCACGAAATCACAATATCCACTTACTATACTAAAAATACTTTGAAAACACTTTGAAAACTACATAGGCCATGCAATCACAATACCCACTTACTCAGGTTCGGTGCAATCAACTTAAGCTCTCTCTCTATTTTGTAAGAGTCTCGCCTTATATTTTTCTTCAAATTTCTCTAGTCACTTTGGCAGAGTCTCCCTTTATAAATACTTCAATTTTCTCTTTTCAATCGAGCAGAATCTCCCCTTATATTTTCATCAATTTCCTACTGATATTTTGGCAGCATCTTTCCTTAGAATTATCATTATTTTACACTCAAAAATATCTTGATGATAGATAAATTAATTTTCATGAAAAGAAACTTGAAATTGCATACCTTGTCGGACATGTTGCTTTAACTCTGACAAAATCTCGACTTAATTTATAAACTTTTTCTCTTGAAAATCTGGCAGAGTTTTGGAATGTTTTTGAGCAATATCTAATATAAAAAATACTAATATCACTTAAAAATCATCCTCAAAATTTCAAGAGAAACGAAATTAAAATGGAAGAGAAAACTCACCTTAAGCTCGCAGGTTCTCCCTTCATTGGCTGTGAGATTTCGCTCTCCTTTTCTCTTATTTCTTTGTTTTCTCCTTTCTTTCTTCCTTCCTCTCTCTTCCTCTCACAATTTAGATAAGAGTGTCCTCAAGGAAAAACTCCCAAATTCCATCAATTTTCCTCACTTTTATTGGATTTCTTGCCTTTTCCTCGTCTCTTTCTCTCTATTCTTTCTCTTTTTAACCTTTTTCAACCCCAGAATGGGTTTTCCTTCTTCCCACATCCCTATTTATAAGGGAGTGACGTCTGTGCAAGTTGATAAGTATGGGAGAGGTGGCAAAACGTGATTGGCCGTTTAAACCTCCTTAAGCTTCATCCTTATCCACATCTCTTCCTTTCTTAGCCTTTAAGTAATTTTAGAGTATTCTAATCTTATCTAGATCCTTTCACGTCTTATCCTCCTTCCAGGAGCCTCCATACCAAATTTGGGCTCCATTTGATATGGTTTGGGCCACCTTGGTCCACATAATCCCATAAGGCCCAAAATTGCACTTTACACACATGCCTTCATTTCAAACAGCCATAACTCCTCGATTCTTATGAATTTCCAGCTCATTTTACCTTCACTTGCTCATCATGATTTCAGCTACTTACCAACCAAATTTGGGCTCAAAACGACCATATTTGGGCCACTTAAGGCCCAAAAGGTCCAAACCGCACACAAAGCTAGGCCCATGCCTATACCCTTACTTCAAAACTCCATAACTTGTTCAATTTTTAATCGTTTTGGGTAAACTTGTGCTTCACATGTTCTTCAAGAAGGCAGCTATCACATAGTTTTCGTCTAGGCATCATCCTAGTCCATTTGGCCCAGTTATGACACAAATAAGCCCAAAAGGTCAAAATTGTCCTCCATGTGCTTGCCTCACGGGTTTGACTTCATTTATCGCACATTTTCTTCTACGGACATTTTTCTTTTTCTATAAAATTTTTCCTTAATATATTGGCTAGTTCTCAGCTAAATTTGAGTCTCAAATTCCAAGTAGTTTGGTCTCGAGACATAAATCAAGCCCAAAGGGTCAATTAGGGCTTCTGACTTTCTCCCTCACATGGGAGATTTCTCTTCTGATTGTTAATTCAATTACTTTCTCATAGTCTCGAAGCATCTCCTTACCTTCTACAATGTTGTTCTAGTCTTGAGAAGTGTTCTCAGATGTAGATAACTCGGTTTCCCCTATTGAGGCAAAAGCTCTTCTTAAGGGATTCTGGCTACTCCAATCTCATAATTTTCCCTCCATTTGACTCGAAACTTAGTTCTTAATCTTATCACATATCCCTTTATACATATGCACACTTAATCAATCATACCAAAGACAAGAGTTCAAATTGGGAAAAAATCCAAGCTATTATAAAGCATCACTTGGGTCTCAAGTTTCCTTTGGACAAACTTGGTCTAATCTTTGGAATAATACCATTTAGGAAGGTAGTCAAGGTTGAAGTCACTTTTCTATTCAAAATGCTCTCGTGTGGAAAATTGGAATTTACTTTCTTGTTCAGGGCGTTTCCGTTTAAGAAATTAGAATTTACTTTTCTGTTTGAGTCGATCCCATTTAGGAAACAAATGGATTCTAAACTCACTTGCCTGTTTAGGACGGGATCTGCGGGATTCCTCCTTGATGCAGGATTGTATCATTAGAACTAAATTGGAGTCATTTAGGATCACGTCATCCCCCCTTCTTCAGAAAGATTCGCCCTCAAATCTGGTCTATTAAAAGGAGAATGATTAGTGATAAGAAAAGAAAGCTCATTTTGCTTACCTAGCTCATTGACTTCATCATTGATGTGGTTCTTAATTGGAATCACACTTCCTCCTAGATCATGCAAGATATCATCACTGGAAACAAAAGAATTAACAGCTAAACACGACTAATTTTGGTGGCTGACTTTTTTTCCTTCTTTTGTCTCTTACGTGATAGGGTGCTCGACCTCTGAAAGAGCATGAATCTATTCTTGACTAGAAAGGTCCTCTGTCACATCATTATGTCACAAGCACTTATTTTGATAAGTTTGAATCAACCCAACACTTGGCAAAATGATTGTACACACCCTTTAAAAGAGCACTCACACAATTAGCAAGAGTTAAAAGCAAACTAGAAAATTTATTAAATATTGAAATTACAGCTATGATACCAAGTGACGTGGGAGGGTATGAGAAAGATCATTTTGATTCTCAGAACCTCAACCCTACATGTGTAATTTCATAAACTTAACCATCTAATTAAATCCTCCCTCTGTTTGATTCTACAACCAAGAATATGACATGCAAAAATAAAAACTAGGGAAATGAAAAAAGAAGAAAAGAAAGATGTCACGAACTTATCCGATAACTCGATTCCAACTCCTCAGCTTGGCAAGACTTTGGAAAGTTCCTTAGTTTCGAAGAACTTGAAGAAGAAGAATTAGCTAAATAAAAACTCAAAACTTCAAATTTATTAATTCTCAAAGTTGTGTTTACAAAGCTTGAACTTAAACTTTTGTATAAGTTTTTATTTTCTATTACTTCTTGAAATAGAATTTAAGATTCTTATCCAAACTCTAGGATCTAATTTAATTTGAAACAAATACATAAATATTAAAATAATCAAATTTTATCCTAACTTAATTTTAAAATATTTAATCTTTATCCTAATCCTAAAATAATAATTAATTAATCCTATGGATAAATTTGACACTAAAATATTAATAAAATAATATCAGATAAATCTTCTCTTTATCTCCATATCTTCATGTAAACTTTAAGTTGATGAATAATTCATCTTGAAAAATTTGCCATAAAATTTACGTGTAGAAATAAGATCAAATAAGCTTTCTACATGCCTCTTTTTATTCTGAATTTTCATTGACTTGGAATAGGAATATGTATATGATCAATCTAGAAAAAGGAGGCTAAATAAGAGTCCAAGTCGAACTCAAAAACATATTGTCCTCGATTGTCCTGCCCGCATAGGCTTGCGCTGTGAGCATGCAGCGTGTGCTGGAAGTCTCCTCGTGCCCGTACATGCGACTTTAGCTGTCCACACAAACACGCCCCTGTGCACATTCTATTGTGAACATAATCTATTCCCCCGCACCCTTTGCGTGCTATATGTCTTTGCATGTGTGGGTCTTCCCAAGGCACACCATGGGCCGACCTTTTTTTAGGTGCGATCTTCTTGGGCCGTGGCCCACTTTGGCCACATGGCCTTGAAGCCATTTTGGGTTGGGCCAAAATTAGGTCTTTCTTCTTGCCTTGTAATTGGGCCTCAAGTTTCTTTTGGACAAACTTGACCCAATCCATAAAATAATCCTATTTAGGAAAATAATCAGGGTGAAGTACTTATGTCAAGATGTTCCTGTTTAGGAAACTAGAATTTACTTTTCTTTTCAGAGCGTTTCCCATTTAGGAAAGTGGAGTTTACTTTTTCTTTTGAGTCGATCCCGTTTAGGAAATAAAGGGATTCTAGACTCACTTGCCTATTTTGGGACGAGACTATGGGATTCCTCCTTGATGCAGGATTGCTGCACCAGAACTAAATTTGAGTCGTCTACCTCAATTTTATTATTTTATAATTTCCCTATTTGTATTATTTATAATTTCCTATTTCCATTTATTTTTCAATTTTTTTTTTCTCTTTAATTTAAATTTTCCTTTCTTTTTATTGATTTAATCCTAAACTTAAAACATGAAATAGCACCAACAACAAAATCAATCAAGAAAATATCCTTTGATTTAACCAAAACATCATGAACCCACACACACACCTAAGTTCATTTAAAACCATATCATTTTCTATTTTATTCAAAATACACCTTTTAGATGCATATAGAAAACTCATTAAAAGTGATCAAGGGAGTATTGCAATTCTTACCTCCTAAGGCATAGTAACGAACTAATTCCAAGGATTCAGTTCCAATCACAACCTCAAAGTACAAACACCTAGCAAACCAGGGTTTGAGTCTTCAACGGAACCCATTAGGCATATTGGGTGAACACACATCACACAAACAACTCTCCTCCGCTCATGCATATGAGTGGACTGCACAACCCAAACACCCTACGAAAATTGGAGAGTGCATCACATTTAATGGAAGTATAATTGAATGTTTTTTAATTAAATAGCCTATGAATGTGACAGAAATAACCGGTACAAATTCAGAATGTTCCCTAAGCCTTCCCAAGCAATTTACTCACTTAGGAGGACACCTAAAAAATATTTTTGCATGGTCACGAGCCTCCTTTAGCTTGTTAAAAACCAATGAAAATAATGTTAGTTTTTTATTCTAAAAGATGTGTATGAAAGTTAAGAATTTCTACTATACCTACAAGTTTCTTTGCTGAATGGATCGATTTAGGACTCCAAATTGTTGTCCAAAGTAGCTTCATAACTTGTCAAAAACACAGACGTTTCGTGTCAGTGATGAACTTGAGATTTTGGATAACATTTAACTGATTAAATCAGTTGCAATTTGGTAAATAATTTATTCTTGGTTAATCTATGATATTTAGACTACACACACTTTAAATCATGAGTTTAAATTAGCAAGAAAGCTTAAGAAAAACATGGGGAAAGAGGCAGGTTTGATCACGAACCAAAGATATTGGGTAAACAGGTTATTCGACGATTCAACATTCTGGTTGATGAATTTCGAACTCTAGAAACACATGGATATAATATTAGGATAAGTGAATCGACTGGAAAGCTTAATTTTTGATTTAGGATAGAAAAAGGTTACCAAATCGAAGATTCAAGTCATGCACAACTCGACTTGAATTTTGCTAGAATCCAGAGTCGATTCTGGCCTCCCTAAGCAACTCATGGTGTGATGGGGTAGCCTACACCACTGCCTGAGAGAGTCCGGTGAAAACCTTCATGGTTTCAACCTTTCTCTTTCCTCGAATCACTCTCTTTCCTCTACAAGTTTTCCTTCGGTGAATCGAAGGAACAAGAAGAAGGAACCTGATTACCAAAAAGGGCAACCGGGCCCAATGCATTTGGGCCGTTGACACGCATGCAAGCCATCTGGGTTGAGCGATGCATTAAGGCAGGAGGGGCAAAATGGTAATTGTTTATGTGGCTCGATCATGGGTTGTTGGATCCTGCCCCGTGAAATCCTGGTCGTCAGTCGTGTGCAGAC